CAGCAGCCTCAGCCTGAGCCCAGCAGCCGCTGTTTGTCTCAGTCGTACCGTACAGTCAACAGGTAAGCTAACGTATTGATAATTTCGTCATTAAATAATTTATAACAGCTTTGCTGTTACAGGTTCTTATAAAATTACTACTTTTTACTCGTAATATTACGACTTTATTCTCGTAATATTATGACTTTATTCTCGTAGACCTAATATTATGACTTTATTCTCGTAATTTCCCCCCCAAAAATTGTTTTTTTTTTCTCTTATTCTGGCCCTAATACTCCGTCATACTCACAAGACTATTTTATGTGTGGAGTAAATATCATTTTTGTTTGTCTTACAAACCCAAAAGTAATGCTTAATTACTTAATAAAAAGTGTGATTTACATAACCAAACTAGGAGCAAAATAAACCTTTTAAATGTATCATACATTATATATAGGTCATCTAAATCCTAATTTCCTGTAACTCTCGATCAGTGGTGGAATAGTACATTCACTCAACCACTGTACAAGTGTTTGAGTTACTTGTACTTTAGCATTTCCATTTCTATTACTTTATACCTCTACTTCACTACATTTATTTGATCTTAATAATTAAAAATGAAAAACAATTATGAGGTAATATTGTCAGGGATTTTACCCAGGGATCAATAACTATTGTAAAATTCTCAAGCTACCCAGCAGATAAACTATATAAAGTAGTTAAAAACCACCTTTACCAGCTGCAACATTAAAGTGATGAGCACATTAATACATCAATACTTATTATCCGATAAAATAATACATATTGTTCTGAAATGGGCCATTCTGCAAAATGAGCACTTTTCTTTTGGGACTTGAGGTTTATTGATTTTGACTGTTATTGTTTGTTTGATTGATTATCTCCGCAGTCCAATTACCAAGCAACCAATAAAGTGTTTTAGCTGGATATCAATGCAAAATCTAACTATATATCCATAAACAGAGTTATATTTGGTATTTATTTCATCGCAACACTGCCATTGTTAATTTGTGTAAGGCTTTAATATACAGCAGATACACTGTAAAGGACCTACATGATTTAGGATGATATCCCTTACTTCCTCAGTGTAAATGAATATATTTACAGCTAAGTGTTCTCAAAGTGATTAATCAATTGGCAGAATGTTAAAAATTTCAATAACCAATAATCATTTGACAAGCTAAACAGTCATAGGCCCTGAGCTTTCTCAGATGTGATAATTCTCCTGTCACCTTGAGCTCAGAGAAGTGTATGTAAATGTAAAATTTAACCACATTAAAAAAATTAAAAAAACATGACGAGAAATAAGATGTAAATCCCTTTAATAAAACTCAATGAAACGCAGTGTAACAAAGGAAAAGAATCCAACATAGAGCAAGTAGATAACATTTACAACCACAAAAGAAAAAAAAACCTGTACAACTCTAAATGCCTGGAGTCACTTCTATGCTTCCAAAGATTTTTTTTAATTAACCATTTTGTGATGACTGAGGGTAAACTCGGGGAGAGGGGTAAAGGAGGCATGTAATGTGATTTTATCTTTTATTTTTATTTTTTTCAAATACATAAGTGTAATCTCATACACAGATGTATGCTTCATCAACGTGGCTGCTGAAGTTATTTTTTTTTTCTGAACCCACTGCTGTAGCATACAGCAGGAGGAGGATGAGGTGAGCTGTGGCCGGGAGTGTTATTTGTACAAGATGTCGTAATGGCCAGGTCTATAGAGGAGGAAGATGCGTGGGTCGCCGCCTTCAGGGAAGACGTGGTGATTGACTGTTCCTCCCTCGCCTCTATCCATGTACTCCACCAGGATGGATACGTTTAGGGCCTGGGCTAAGGCGATGATGTGAATGTGGTCACTTTCTTTAGACATAGGCTCTACCTCCTTGAAAGAGAATTAACAAGCACAATAAGTGTGGGTTTATTTTCACAGCAGAACTTAAATAGTTAGACATTGAACATTGTGGCTGATGGTGTATTCTTTTTAAGCAACAAAGGCTTCATATGCACACAAAAACAAGCATTTTCTCTTTTTTAGAGCTGCCCTGTGCCACTCTAAAAGCATTTAACAGCTATCAACTTAAATGGAGCAGCTGCTTAAAGGCATACTGAACGAAGCTGGTGAGATTTTAACGTCAGCTTCCACTACAGACGTTCCCTACCAGTCAAAGCACTGGCCAGGGATGAAATGAGTGCCAGAATAAACAATATAAAATAAAGTTTATAACTAGAAGAAGTAAAACTATAAACGCAAAACCATTTTAAGGGCATCCATTTAAAGCGATCTCCGCTGATTTTACACATTAGAGTCTGTTCACAGTTCTTAGGGAGTACTACTACATACTGTGTGGAATAAGATAGATTACTGCTAGGGTCGAGGATCAGTCTGCAAATGTAAAAAAAACATAATTTGAGGTTGTGTATTACAAAGAGTGATGTAACCAACCGAGGCCAACAGGCTACATTAGCAGATCCGAATCTCTGACCGGGTTGTTGGCGGTCAGGTTGTGGAGACCACCAGGTCAAGTTGTGTAGATGACCAATCTGCCGAGCTCATGATTTGCCATTTGCTCTGCCACATTTGTCTGGCCACCTTTCTTTGGATCCAGTCGGCCTAATTACAACCGTTTATTTCATATGGGTCAGGTTTGGATTCACCGTTCCAGATTTGAAGTCACATGTATCCTCACCAAACTCAGAACAAATTGTCAAACTAGGCAGTGCTGATCAAATATGAATGATTCTGTTACTGCATTGCCTTTTTCTGTTTTGAGAAACATTTTCGTGTACTGTTTAATTGTTATTTGGGAAAGTTCGTGACCAGTTCATTTTTTCCAGCTTGAAGCACTGCCTCAACTTGCATGTGTCTCCCAGCGTTACATCATGTTTCGTTGCTCTGATTGTGTGTAGGTCACGTTTCATCGCTCGTATTAGTCTGTTGATGCCAGGCTAGTAGGCACCAGGTTTTGACAAAGAATAAGAAAAAGACAATATCTGTGAAAGAGGCTGTGAGAAATACTGACCTAATATTTCAATATGTACGAATATGCCCTTAAAAGCAACCCATCTCTAGTTTAGTGAACTTTTCAAGGTGGTGACCATCTTTTCAATTAAAAATGCTTTACTACAGACTGTCTTAAGAAGAAAATGGTAACTAGAAGTTCTTTTTAAATAGGTAATTAATGTTATAAAATAAAAAAAACCCACCTGCTGACAGAACTCCTTAACAGAGCGTCCTCCCTCTATGAAGTGCTGAAAGAAGCAATGCTCTCGCTGCAGGTAGCCTGAGGTGAGCAGCCGCAGGTAGACGACCACATAGTCTGACACGTTCTGGTCGTTGAAGGAGCCCAGGACCTCCTGCAGTGTCGGCTGTTTCTCACACAGTTCAATCAGGTCCATGAACTTGGTAGAAAGATATTATTTACATAATTAGATTGATATGTACGTGTCAGGCTTGCCAACTTTCTATTCAACTGGCCAAATCTAGTGGGTCTGTCTGCTCCAGCTGACCAAATACATCATGTACTCTGGCAGATGACCACTCAGAGTTGGCAAGGCAACAAGGAAATAACAGTTGACACTAGTATCATAATTCAAACAGACATCACACACTTAATCCAACAAGATACAAGATATACTGTGCACACTGTGAGACTGAAGCATCTACAGCGTTTATTAATCAGAGTAAGCTATCAATGAAAGCTACTTTATAGAAGCAATGTCAAAAAACCCTATCATATACACTGTTCAGTTAAACAGACAAAAAAAAATATTTCCTACTTCCGTAATGTCCTCATTTCCATTCATCAGTTAGCAATAAACAGTTTATGTATTTTTGTGTAAACTCACAGTATTATGGAAGTCTTCAATAGTAAATTCAGTGAAGCCCTCGTTAACCAGGTCCAGTTTACTTTTAGATGCAACTGCTTTGAACCTGAAGAGACAAAAAACAACAACATATATTCAACAACCCTGTGAATATTACAGCTGACATTTTAAGTGACAACTTTGTGTAAACCTATAAAACTATATTCATCAAATCAGCCCCCAGTACAGCTACGAGACAACAAAACTGTGCCAAAACAGACTTTATTAACGTGAGTCTAGAGAGCCACAGCTACTACACCACTAACAGCCAGTGTGACACTCACTTCTGAAGCTCTTTGCTGTCATCTAGCAGGGACTCGAGATGTGCGAAGCCAAAGGCTCTGTAGAAACAGTTCCCATCTGGTCGCGTCTTACGAATGTACGAGTACTTTTTGTATAGGTCCTGCAACAAAACAAAAAAAGAATTATTATACAAAAATAAATGCAAAGAGTGTATTTGAATATGCAAACAACAGACAGTTTTGTGGTTCTGGAAATAAGGATACCCTGGACTGTGGACAAAATGTACCCTGATGCGGGTGCTGTAAACCGAGAGCTGGTGGTGTGGCTTGACTGACCTTGATCTTGAGCTGATAAACTGTGTCATCGTCAGCGTACTCCCTCTGCAGCACTGACAGGTCCTGTCTGTCCGACACTAAAGGGTTACTGTTGGCTATCTAGACAGCCACACACAAAGAAATTACAATTAGTGCAACTTATGGGTGACTCTCCTGACCAGCTGTGGGGTGTGCTTTCCATGAATAGTCTTGACATGGGTTATGATTTTCACTGACACAATGAGCTATTTACCATTTCATTATACACAACTTCCACTGCAATTTTGATAGGATGTTGCTGATGTTTGATATGTCTTATTTCATTATTAGGTGATGGCTGTGGAGTCATAGTTATCTTAACAGGTCACAGTCAATGCTACTGATTACTGGGAAGCTTTACTTAAATTTTCTATTTTGCAGAAATAAAGATCAGTAGGTCAAGAGAAAAACAATTGTTAATTGAATAAAGGTGATTCATTGAGGAATCTTATTTGGTGTAGACAAGTGCATATGAAGGGTGTCCACAACAGCATTTGTAATTAAGGATGTCCTGTTGTCCCAGGGACAATAAAACTAGCACCTGGGACACAAAGACATATGTAGTGACTTGTTCAGGGGAATAGCAAACATGTGTGTTGCAACAGCTCTGCCAACAGTGCCGGGGGCTCTACCTCTCCACTTGCACCGTGCACATACCCCCCTGTGTGTGGTGTGTGGGGAACATTTGAGTTTTTTTCAGTCTTTCTCTCCAGATCTCTGGATTAGGGTGTTCCTATTGCTTATGTCAATAATTTGTTTGAGCTTGTAAATATTTAAACAGTTTGTTTGATTTTCTCCTTCCCTTTGGAGATGGTGTCCCTGTAGTGACCTTGTGATTATTTGGCTAAATAATAATAATGTTCAAAGTGTGCATAGGTAAATTTACATCACCGTCAGAAACAGGTTTGCATTTGCACTGCAGTTTGCAAAGGTGCATTGATTGAAGAAACAATAACTAATCAAAGAATAATAAAAACTGATTATGGCCGAATACTTGTGTGTGATTTAAATTTTTTAAATTAAGAGTTTTTAAATTAGAGTGCAGGGAATAACCATAGAGGACCACAGTGAGTAAATTAAGTTATACGAATTAATAAAAACAAAGTTATTAAACTATATTTATTATGTAGAAATGAAAAAAAGAAAAGAACTTCAATTTGGGACAGTGGTGGTTAAATCTTGGACAGTTTGAAGTAAAATTTGGGACAGTTGAGGGACACTGAGGGGGAAAAAAGTAAAAAAGTAATCTTTGTTTATGTTACCTAAAATAATTAATATTGCCCTTGCCAATAAAAAGGGATTTCTCACCTCCTGCTGAATTCTGTCCTGTTGAGCAATTATGGCCTCGTCATATGCGAGGCAGTTCACTCCTGTAAAAGAAAGAGCACAGACTAATTAAAGACTTCTGGAGTAAATACTCAAAATAGAGACTGATAGGCCACAATGATGGTAGAGCTCGGCACTGGTCAGTGATGGACTCCTTTAACGGAATATGTGGCATCTTCACTAAAAAAAAATCAGGTTAAACAGTTTAGGTTAAAATTGACATCCCTTAGTGGAGAGTCACATTGTTACATTGTTACATAGGAGCGAATGAGCAGAGACACTGCTATTGCTGCTTTTTATTGATCTGTTAGAATGCTGAAAGGTCAGTGCTGCATATTTACAATGCAGCAAATGCAGTAGCAAACAGCAAAAAAGTACACTATTAGATAACACGCTGCACAGTGTGTAGGTGTCACATGCATCTATGCAAGCTGGATTATCTTGTGACAGTATCCACGCACAATGCACCAGCTTTCCCCATTAAAAACAAGACACGATGTCACACAGATTAAAAAAATCTTTTGATTTTATAACACTTTTTTCTGTAATTATTCTGCGTTGTTCGTTTGCAAAGACAAACAAAATCTGTGCATTTTGCATGCACACAACGTGGTTGTACTGTTTCGGGTATACAAACCAGGTGGCTGAACAACGTGCACAGAAATGATGCAGCTCCCACATAAATGCCTCCGTGGTGTCAGAGAAGGTTGGCACATTCAATGGCACTTTATTCAAGTAATTGTATCGAATCAGGTATATCGATCTGTTTATTTATTCGTTTGTCTTCTTCACAATCGACAGGCGAGTTGCTCTGGGTGGTGAAACATTACACTCACGTAAATAAAAGAGGAATCAAAGCGGCGTGCATTAAAAACGTAAGTAAATTAAAACAAGATTAACAAATTCACGACTCTACATTTTCTCTTTCCAACACTACAAGCAACCACAGACGCATTCAGCCGGTTTTCAGCAGGTAACATAAAAAAAACAAGTTAATCCACAACACCAGCTAACGTCAGTCAGCTACACTTGGCTAGCTCGACCTGTGCGAAAACAAAAACAAATTGCAGTCACGCCGAATAACGTCGTTTTAGCAACCGAAAATACAGTGCCCCGTCTTTACAACTAAGCCTATACTTTAAACATTTCCTCAAGTCAAAAACTCTGCAACTGTCACTTTACTGTTGCCCTGTCTGGAACTAAACAAGCGTTTTTTCTTTGTGTAGCAATGGTCGCTAGCTAACGTTAGCCGACCAGCTCTGGCCTCTGTCTCCTCCTCATCGCTGCTCGTCGGCCGCCTGTCCCACAGAGAGGGCAGCGGCGGGGACGGCCAGCGGACACTCGCATGGACGCGGGCGTCACTTGCGAGGGGAAGGACGGCTGTTTTGTAGAGCATTTTGGTTGCGACTGTTTCTCTCACCCTCCATCTCTCCTTGTGATGATTCCTGCTGCTCTCCGCCATCTTAGCTGTCGAGTCTGTTTCCTCCTCTCTGCGTGACGTCATTCGTTAACACTTCCGGGCGGAGTTCAAATATGTGTGTGTATCTATGTAACGTTTTATGTAAATTAATTAATTAATTAATTAATAATATAGTTAATTAAAAAAAATAGATATATATAAATTTGGCTTTTTAAAAAGAACACTGTTAGAACTTTTCATGTCAAGGACTACAAACAAGATGGGGGGTGTCTTGCTTTGGATATACTGTAGACTACATTCTCCCATTGAGTTAAATTGGTTGCAGCTAAAGCAGGTCCACACTGGTCCATGAAATAACCCTGATAGGTTTTTGCTAGAAATATTCAGCCCAGTTTACCTGATAACACAACCAGATACAGAGACTGTGCACCCAGAGAAGGAGCAACAGGTGGATTAATGGGGCCCACAGCTCATTTTTGCCCTCAGCAGTTTAATCTGAGATACCCCTGCAAAACCCTCCAGAGGAATCTCAACAGACAATTTCCTAGCAGACCAAAATAAGTACCAGTGTAAATCCAGACGATCCAGACAATAGTTTTTTACCCAAATGCTGTACATTTAGAAAAAACATGCACATTTATTTCAACCCATCAATACAAGCTGACACCCAGACATAGCCCTCAAAATAAATGAGATTCCAGGCACATGGCCAGGAAGATCATTTTCCAAAATCACAGTTGAATGCAGAGTCTACATAGTACTGCAGTTTGTAAGATCATTAAGGCCCCTGCACTTTCCAGCAGTACACATCAGGGGGCAATGTCTGCAACAAATACAACTCACGTACACTCAAACATAATACCATTCAACTGCTACTCTTACCTGTCGATGCCGGCAAATAACATATGGAACGTTGCCTTTGCCACTAACTCTCCCAACATACTTTTAAACAACATTTGTAACATTTTGATATCTTTTGCATTTGTGTTGGAAAAAGTAGTATCTATATATAGTATATACAGAAGGTAACATCAAACAAAGAACAATAATAATACTTCATATTTGCAAAAGCAAAAGTGATTTTTTTTTATATTTTCCCTTTGGCACATTGCTTCCCCTATCAGGGGTGTAACACAACCCAACAACACTCAGAACACATATAAACAAAGATATAAAACCAATGATCACAGATACAAATGCATGCATGGTTTTGACACATTATTAAAAGTCTGTAACAATTCATGTCAAATTCCTCTTGGAAAGGCATCTTCCTGTCTCGGATGTTGAAAAAGTCCACAGTTGTGGCAGCTTACTGACTTTCCATCTCGGTCTCTAGTGTAAGAGTTCAGATGGATTCACAGAAGTAGCCATCAAGCGATATAATAACATGTAATACAATGTGAAATTAAAAAGCATTTTACAAACATCTGGCAGCTTTTCCAGCTTTCATCTGCTGTGTATGCATGTGAATACCGGAAGGAACCCAACATATGCAATCCTCGCAACACAGGAGCAATGTATATTGATTTTATGGGAGCATTATGGGAACTAGAAGATTCATTTGTTGGTATGATAATTGACCTGGAGTGAAGTGTTATAAAAATACATCAGAAAATATATTTTTTGTTAAAGGAAATAATTTCCATATTTGTACAAATTTACAGATCTTCGAATCACAACATGTAAAGACACTATGTTTTGGCAGTATGAAGTCATTATCTGATCCAAACTGTCTCAGTGCTTAAGGGAAAGGCACAATGACAGGAAGACAAAATGGAGGTATGCATGTTGCAGGTGTGGCAAGAGAGGAACAAGCCCATGGTTTGGATCAGATCCCAAAACATGTTGTGTAAGAGAACTTAATACTGCACACCACTAAAGCAAAAATACACCCTCGGTACAGGGGTGTTGCAATCTACTTTTCTGATGTACCAACATTCCCTCAGCTTCGTCTTCTTCTCCTGCATTTCCTGATTTCCTACTGCACGTGCTTTCAACATCCCCCACAAAAGGTAGGTCAATATGATATACAGAGCAACAGATACTGTATTGCAAAATATAAACAAGGAATATCATCTGCGATTAAACGCTGTAGTAGCTGCACTGGAAATATTGTGACATTGTCTTTGCTTGTGTCAGTAATCCAGGGGATATACACAACGCATCACGCAGAGATCCGGAAGTGTCTAGTAGATGCTTTGGAGTAGATTTTTTTTCTTTAGAGACTTCTATTGCACCATGTTCCCGCACAATAAAGAAGATACAGCATTGTAGTCAAGGTGTAGATTGAACCTTGCCAGTGCATCCACATTTGAAGCACCTCCAAGAACCAGAGCTTGTCAGTCTTGTTGTTTAACATGTTAGCTGCCTGCTAAACTATCTGGGCCTTGTGGATGAGGGAGGCATGGGGACTAACCACAGTGGGACTTGGTCGGGGTTTGGGTCTGAGAGTGCCGTTAGTCTGCTGATAGCGTAGTGTACTGTGAGCCTCGGACACTTGGGAGCTGTTGGTCTCGCTGTCTTGGTCATCCGGATGCTCCTGACTGGCAGGACCCCCCAGACCTTCATCCACTTCATCCTCATCATCTGTCACTGGTGGGTAGTTGCAGCTCATTGGGGGGTGCTGGTGATTCTTGGTGACACTTCCTGGCCGTGAACCCCCATCTGTTGGGATGATGGCGCTGCCGTTTAGCTGTCTTCTGACAATTTCAGTGGACTGTACCATCGGGAAGGCTGATGGCGTGAGAGGAGGGTGGAAGCGAGTTTCCTGCTGCAAAGACACAAAGCAGACACATGTCTTAATTGCATCATCATCATCAGGTAAGTATGCAAAGGTGAATAAGCTGGGTGAGATGCATTCCGCTATTTGATTAAATCAGGCTTTGACTTGCCCAAAAATACACACACTCAAAGACACTTACACTTACCAACGACATACTGCTGTTTCTCACATATGACTCCACTCTGAGTCGGTTCTCTTCGTCTCTGTCCAATAGTCTCTCTCTCCCCCTCCGCGAGTTGTTGTGCAGGACTGGTCTGCCCAGGTAATCATACGCTCCCACTCCTCCTCCCCTCCCACCTGAGATAGTAGATCGGCTGTCACGGCAGTGAGCCTGATCCTGTCAGTGCAGGAAAAGATACTGTTCAGTATTCACACATATACAGATTTGTACTTTTTCATGTCTTTTGAACCCTTAAATTAAACAGAAGAGAATTGAACAGTATTGCCAAATCATGCTGAGATAACGTAATTTACTTCTAATTAAGGAATTAAAGTAAAAGTTCACATTTTGGGAGGTATCTTATTTGCTTTCTCACAGAGAGTTAGATTGATACCACTCTTGAACCTGTGTGCCAAACATAAAGCTACAGCCAGCATGGGTTCACTTAGCTTAAAATAAAGACTGGAAATGGGGGGAAACGGCTAGCCTGGCTCTGTCCATAGGTAACAAAATCCACCTACGAGCAGTTATATCAGTTGAATCTGGTTTGGTTAATCCGTAAAAAAACAGAAGAGTAAAAACGACATGTTGCAGTTCTAGAGAAAGACTATTTCTTAGCTGAGTGCAGTGACTTCCTGGTATCAGTATTGCATCTTAGCAGAATAATAAGTTGATGATTGACATTGACTTTATGGTGAAATCACCCTGTTAAATGAAAATTCTGTCACCCCATTGGCAGATTTATTTAGTTATTTTAAGAAATACACCATTTTAAAATGCAGTATTTTCTGCTGTTGTTGGCAAGCTGAATGGTAGTGACAACTCTAGGGGCCCTTATAAAAACATGGGGGCCCTTGAATCACCTTGGTAGCCAAATGGTTACAGCGCATGCAGCAAGGTCCCATGGTTGTAACTGTCACCTGTTTGATTCCAGCCATTGACCTTTGTTGCATACCCTTCTACCCAAACATAATCTTGGAAAATATAATATATGTATAATGTATAATATATATATGTAATTAACTAAACTGTAAAACCCCAACTTGTAGCTTTTAACTTACAAGTTATTTGAATAAATAAACAAGATATAACTTGTTTATTAGTGAGTTTTAGAGATGGAGGCAGTCTGGCGGATTGTGTTACCTTGGGACAGAACCAGGCTAGCTGTTTCCCCCTGTATCCAGTCTATATACTTAGCTAAACTAACTGGCTGCTGGCTCTAGCTTCATTTAACAGACGGGTAAGTAGGCAAGTGTTTCTCCCAAAATATCAACTATTCCTCGAAGCACCCTTTAGGAACCATAGAAAGGAATGGGTTTTAAGAAATTGAAAAAAGCCATACTGTAGAAACAAAAGGCCCCAAGAAAAAGGAGCAAAAAAGAAGCTCAAAGGTCTTCACCAATATAAGGTGTTATTATTATTATTATTATTATTATTATTATTAATAATATTAATATCATTATTATCAATATCTGAGATGCTATACATTCAGAATTGAAATGTTGAAGCTCAGAACTTAGCCTCCTGGCATCTGGACAGTAAAGCCTCAGTCCCCTGCCTTGCATGCAGAGTTAGATAGATACGTAGACTGACCCCGAGCGACGACATGCTGGTCCTTATGGTTCCCTCCACCCTCAGAGGGATGTTTTCTTCTGTCTGCAACAAAAAGAAACAGGCTTGATTAAATGTGGACCAACTCAATCATCCTAAACCCTAAAAAAACACTGTGCCCTTTCAAAATGTCATAACCCAGTCACTTGTTTCCTTGGAAAGACAAACAAAGTAGGTCAAACAAATCCACAACTAACTGACACACGTGGTCATAGAGCACAGTATTAGGTATTAATCACAGTCAAATTTCTAAGTACTAATCCTTGAATAAATGATTGTGTGAAACATATGGGACCAGCAGTCTGATTGATCAATGGTGTCAGAGTCTCGCAGTCTGAATCAGGTCGTGCAGACAGAGGAGAAAACAGAGAAGAGGAAAGAAGAAGGTGCTGCAGTAGGACAGTATGTTCAATGTGAAAAGAATAATTCAGTAATAGTACCGCTCCTCTGGCATCTGTGCTGATAGAATTCATCCTCCTGAAAGAAGCCTGCCTGGAGAGAGTGCTTATTTCCTCCCTGAGAAACAAAAGAGAAACAAAGAGAAATCTATCTAAATTATTGAAGAAAATGACTCCCACTGTGAATTTTGTGTATCTTTTGAGCATTTTAAGTTTTAATATAGTTCATACTTCATATTTGTAATTTCTTATTTAGTTTTCATGCATATTTTCTTTTCATTGTCCTTCCTTGTCTTATTTTGCACATCCCGCACACACACTCATCTATTAACTGAATTTTACACTTTCCACTTCTCTAATTCTACTTAACACGCTCCACTGTTGTAACTGTCAGTTATAATATGCTTAAGAGCCCTGATTTGTTCCGTTCGCAGTTATTCTTATTGGCTCAGTCTTCCCCCCGCGGAGATCATTACATTATCCCATCTTATCTCATCTTAATTAAACATCACGTTATCTCAGCATACTTCTTCTCAGTCAGCTCCTTCTCCAGTTTCTTGTTCTTGCGTTTGTGGTGGCAAGTGATGGTGATGATGACGATGAGCATCAAGATCAGTACCCCGCTAGCCGCGGCCCCCACGGTGATCATCAGCATGTTCTCAATATATTTGTGCTCCTCGGGGGATTCTGTAAAGAGGAGAGTCAGTAGGGAAGCAGGATTAGATGGATGTACACACATCTTTTCACAGTATTATGACAAGTCTTTAGTACGTGATGCTGACACTGCTGTCATATACCTGCCACACTAACTTCCACCTCCACCTTGCTTACTCCCACTTCATTCGTCGCCACACACTGGTAGGTGCCTCTGTCTGTCGCATTTAGGGGTCTTGCAAAAGCTAGTGTTCCATTGGGGTGGGGGATCACACCTTTCGGCAACTCTCCATTCACTCTGCAAACAGACCGAACCAAAGTTACATCACAGTGCATTTAGATTAACTCATGTACCTGGATGTGTAATCTGGGTTAAGAGTTCCTAATTTTTTTATAAATGTTGGCAACATCTTCAGAAATTGAGTTTCTGCACTATATTTTAAAGAGTATCTTAAACTGTTGTCAGAATTGAAACCATAATGGAATAATCATTTTCACAAAGAAGCTGTGGCTTCACAGATATATCACGCAAGAATCCATCTTTCCAAACTTCAAGCTACGCGCTTGTATCCGAACACAGTGGTTCAAACCAATCAGGGAATGAGGAACTACTGGCAGCTGTGGCATGAGCTAGGAGTGGGGTGTAATGTCGGGTGTGTGAGAAGTGACTGAAAACAACAGTGGCAGCTGCTAAAAAAGTTAGCGTGGATGCTGCTTCCAGCTTTGGTAAGACTTTGACTACGTCACATGGTTCATTGATCTTATTGGTTGGACTTTGCCCATAATAGACAGTGATACACAGATGGTTCATCCAATGACCTGCCAAGTGTTTTTTGAAAGTGCTGCCACTTTTCCAAGCTGTTTCCAACGATAACTTCCTAGATGATTCTGTTTAATAAATGGGCTGCAATCACGTCACCCGATCACACAATGGAGGTGAAATTAGCAATTGTGGAAAACATGATTATCTTGGTTGCCCCACACCTGCTGCTTTACAAAAGAATAACTCAGTCCGTGATACTTCCCCCTGTTTTCTCACCAGGCTGTCTCTAACAAGAACAAGTTGTCCCCTATGACACACGCTGCTTCCAAAATCACTAGTCTCCCAACCCCAAACCTCCCTGATCTCAATAACAGAACCATCATTCCCATGCCACTCACTTTAGCACATGACCCTGGATACCCCCTCAACCTACTTTTCACTCTACACCCACTCAGTCACAGATACAAGACACTCAGATGGAAAAGGGCATGTTTTAGCAGAGGTTTTGTCGCCTCTTTAGCTATGCTAAATTCCATAGCACACTATGTTTTCTGTAAATAAATAAAAGCATTTATGTTGTGCATAAATGTACATTTGTTTGTGTGGAAACAAATAATATATATATATAAATATATATATATCTATAATCTATCATGTTTACAAAATGTTCTAGCCAGTCTTTATTTTTGAGCTTTCATATGACACATTTACATGTTTTCACACATTGTACTGCAATGTAGTTGTACTTCCTGCTGAGGTGCAGAATACAGTGAAGTTGACAGTGACAAATGACGTGCTCTCTGAAGAGATAACATTCAATCTAAAAACACCCTTAATCCACTCTCCTAAGAAATATAGAAAACCCTTGTCTCCTCTCGTTTGAGCACAGTGTCAAAGTTTCTGTAAGTGGTGCAGTTTTCTTTGTTCATACATTTCATCTTTCTATTTGAAACTAACAGGAATATATATGGAATATTCCCTTAACTTTTAGAAGGTTGTCTCTTTTTTACATTCTGTTTTACAGTATTTAAATACTGTCCCTCAGTTGTTTGGAACCACCATGTAGTTCCTGGCAGTGTGACTCAGGGAAGTTGTTTTCGATGAGCAACACTGTCCAGGGTGTTGCCTCACTGTTGTTTTGAGTGCATTTGATTTAATCCGTTTGAACAGACTTGACCTTACTGTCTGCCTATTGCTGTGAACATTATCAACCCACATTGCCCCGGAAATACTGGGTGCATTTAATATTATAATAACATATGCAGACAAACCTGCGTTTTTATTCACAGGGGCTACACTAACCTCCATATACTGCACAGTGCACAGTTAAAGCAGGAAAAAGGAACTGTCAGTTTTGTGTTTGCTGTAGACACCTTCATGATAACATCTCATACAAATCCACACATTCTGCTTCCTCTTCCTCTTTTCGCCGCCCCTTGGCTCACCCCAACCCGTCTGCCTACCTGCCCCCACTATATTTCACCTCTCTCCTTATCAGGACTGCTCATCCCTTTCCCTTTTTCTTTTCATCCCCCTCTTCCTCCCTCCTTCGTGTGAAACTGTCTCATCTGTCTGCTCTCTGCACAAGCCGCAACACGACACTGTGACACCAGCTATTACTTCACCTGCCGCCTTTTATTGACAGAGCCAACAGGTTTGCCCGCTACTGCAGCCACTGCACATTTGTGTGTGTGTGTGTGTGTGTGTGTGTGTGTGTTCATGTGAAATGCGTATATGAGTAAGGTAAGGAGAGGTTGATTGTAACTGGAGATTGTGAGTGCTGACTTGGTTCTGTGTGTGTGTTAATGAGTGTGTATGCTGGTATGGCGTGTGTCTGGTAAGCCTTACTCAAAAACTAATTTCCAAAGGTGTGTTCCTGTGACTAACAGCAAGTAATGTACATCATCATCTGGAAAAACAACTCAGATCGAAAGAAACCTCACCAAACATTTTACTTACATTTTTTTACATTTAAGTACCTACGCTCCATCTGTGCCTAAAGAATTTCACCCTTGGGGCCTAACTGTCACTTCTTATAATGCAATGGGAGCCATTCCTCTTCCAGTCACTTTTTGTGGCCTACTTTTTCATTTTTATTCCAGCCAAACTCTATACCACACCCTGAGAATATCTTTATGTGCCAAAGTAAATGGCTTGAAGATGACACCCGGTGACCGAAGCAGAAGAAGTCAGGCATTTGAGTCAAACCCTCATCTGGGATTACAGCTGCATTTTAAATGACACACGCAACATTTGAATCTGTTTCCATTCAGGCAGCAGAATCAAGAGGTGACAATGCCAGGGCTTGTTTAGTTAAGCCATGTGGAAAGGGTGGAGATCCATCCCCCCACGCTATGAAAAGTTATTTCAGCTGAGTATATAAGCGACCAGCCAGCCTTACTACATTTGTTCAAAGACTCGATTATAGTACGACTAACTCAACATAACTTGATAACTAGACAATCATTTTGATAAACCTCAGATATTAAAGGTGCCCTTTGCAGTTTTCTTGTAAACGAACAAAAGGTAAAAGTTTACTTTCAGACTTTGTCACTGAAATTGCATTGTGTGTATCCATGGGGTCTATCAAACATTATGAGTGCATTTTCTTCCTAATCAAAGATTTGCATAGCCGATTTTTTGAGCATTCCACATTGTGAATTGTTTACATCCACGTTTCTTTGCCAGCAGTCGTCTTCACTGCTGTTTCTGGGCACATTGCTACGTTTTTTGCGCATTAAGTGCCAACCATTGGAATACTGTAAATTCAATTCAATTCAAATGTAATGTAACAAAATAGAGAACCTCTCATAAAAACTGTGCTCTACTAGGGCAAAGAAATTCCACAGAGTAACACAGATGCTCAAATATACAATATTTAAGCAGTTACTGCTCAAATGTGCATGATAGTCTCCATCATGGTCAGCATCATTTAAATCCGACCTGTGACAGTGAAGCTAGCATAACTGCATGAGTAACTGTAAATTGTTACTTTGGCCCCTGAGGATGACCTGAGCGCCACCTCACTGAACATCCCATTTGCACACTTGACTGGTGAAACCATAGCAAAATAATTAGTATAATTACTCCCTTTAAGTTCTGAGAAAAGTAATAGTGACCAGACACATCAGACAGTTACTCACACGAGTACCAGACAGCGAGAGAGGGAGGCGGGTCCTACTGTACCTGATCCAGGTGAAATTCTGTGGTTTGGGGTTTCCTCCACTCACGCACCTCAGGGCAGCATTATTCAAACCCACGTACCAGTCTCTATTGTAGCCAGATATCTCTGCATCTGGAGGATCTGTGAGGGGGAAAACCAGGATCACTTCCATAACTAGAAAATTCCTAAAGAAATTTTGAGTGTGCCTGACTCTGGCCCGTATATTAATAACGTCATACTCTCTAGCACGCTAGCATATTAATACCTCTGTGTAGCTAGCTATGTGTGTGTGTATGTGAGAGGCAGGCTTTG